AGATGTGTTTAACCAATCAAAACATTACCTCTAGTAGGTGACATAGCAGTGATTTAAACAAAAGATCAAAGCATTCTTACTCTAATGATCAAAGATACCTACAAAAACAAAGAAAGCTCTTTTGAAGCTCTAATTCAAATTCAAATTCAAATTCAAATTTATTTGTCCAAAAGGAAATTACATTGAGAATATCCACAATTAGTTCTTTTGTCTTATTACAATTTAAATTCAAGTAGTTGTCTTTGCACCATTGTAAGAAATCTTTTAAGGTATTAAAATAATTAAGACAATTGTCCTTAATGAGTCCAATCAGCACTGTGTCATCCGCATACTTTAGTATCATTGTGTCCTTGTACTTTGATCGGCAATCATTTGTATATATGATGTAAGCCCATTGTTAAGCAAAGGGTGTAGTCTACATATAGCGAACGCTTCTTTAAACAATAGGAGAGACCAGTTTCGGGAGCTGTCAATAATGCTAGTACTAGAAAATATTAAACCTAATTTATTACTTACATTACAGACGACATTATCATTTTCAAGTATACCCTGTAATCCTAAAACAAATCATAGAATATCCTATTGTACTTGACAAAAACATGTTAAATACTAAATATGGTCATGATTACATCACATCATGACCATATATAGGTATATCATAACTATATATAGGCATAAAACATAAATTCTCACTTGATGGTATAAAGCTGTCACTTGAATTGTAGACTCTCAACCTGTTCCTGTCCACATCTGTTGAGAGCTTCACTTCTCTTAATCTTCCACCAGTAGATGGCCTAGAAGTTGATTCAACATCTCTGGGACTTAATCTTGATGACGCAGATGAAGGTCGTTGAGAGGATCGCCCTCTCTGAAGTCTCGTAGCTTGCACTGCATCTTGTAATACTTTACAGATTGCATAGGCATTGAAATGAATGATTTTATAAAATTATTATACATCAAAAAAAAAGTAATCAAAAAAATTTAAAGTACATTTCTGTAGCTTTGAAGTGTTAATGAACAGTTTCACCATTTGAATATTATTATTATTGTTAAGCAACAACATTTTGATCAATCACTTCATATGCTGCAAGGCATGACAACGATATGATTAGTAAAAAAAAATTAAAATACTTTGAACCAGTAAAAACAGTAATTAATTGTTATTAAAATGTTAAGTTGTCAATGAAAATAGTACTGGCTTATGATGATAACCAATGCAACCATGAAAATATGAAATGGGAGGCACTGCCAACATTAATGGTTTGCTTTTTAAATTATTTTTGTAAATGATGAAATTCAACTTAAACATATAATATATATTATAGTCATCATGCCTTCATCACTTAAACTCTCAGTGTTATTTTCCTATTCCCAACTGTGCATTAATCTAACCTTTCTAAAAAAATTTCCACTAGCGTATGATACACAACTCTACTACAGTTAATTGCTTATTTACGCATATATAATATGTTCCCAGATTCTATACTCTTATTTCAATTATTACTATTAGTAGACAATCAACCAACAAAAACCAAAAGAACAAGAACCAAATCAGTTAACAGTAAATATAACTTACAGTACATACGAACATGATAAAAACTGCATACGAGACATGGACACCCCTATGTGCAAACTCCACAAGTGCAAAATACGCATAATTCAACCATGCATGCAATAACACAGTAATATTTCATCCAAAAAATGATATGGATGTGAAAAAAAAAACAAGCATATTAAAAATTCAAGCAATGTACAAAATGATAAAAATTATTAAGTCATTAAATGGAATTTTGCATTAGTGCACAATACCGTGATAGTAAAATTGGTCATGAAATGGTTTTATAAAACAGATCTTTTCTTATAAATTAAAACTTATAACAAAACATGCAATTATAAATTCCAGAAAACCATAAAAAATGTAACCAAAACATTAACTTTTCACTGATTATTTCAAAATCCTTAAATTGCTAGCCAAATTAAGGGCTTATTTAAAATTATACAAACAGTAACATTTATTCACTGCCAATTAGCAAAGTAAATGTTTTCTTGTTTATTTAGTAATTTTTTTTAAAAGGGTAAAATTGGCCAGCAAACACAGGCAATGTATATTTAACTTTAAACTTTACCACAAACATAAAAAGAAAAATATAAACAAACTATTTCCACAATTCTTAAGAGCATGCTGTTTCAGTGGACGTGCATAAATGAAAAATAATGATGACCATGATAAGCATTATAAAGTGCGATATATTATGGGAAATTTATGATCATAAACAATATACAGTGGCAATGCACAACCATGTTAAACAATTATATACAATGAAATAATATGATGCGTGAAATAAGTAAATTGAGTCTTGATGTGCGCAGTAATCAGCTGTTAGTGCACATAAAAAATTCATGGAATAATTGTTTTACTATGACTACCTTCATCTTCATCTGTGTTGCCAGGTTCTTTTGTGTCTTCTTGCTCTTTCTTCTTCAATTCAGTCTCAGCCATTGAATGTGTTCTCTGAACCTCAAGTATTTCAGAAGATTCTACAAAATTGTCTATCGCTTGAATATTATGTCGTTTATCTGCGATGTTTTCTGTGTCTGATTCTGAAGAGTGTGGACTGAAGTCGGCATCATCTTGCTTTGCGGACGGTACTTCTACTGTTATGGGCGAGGGCGCCTCAAATGCTAATGACTCTGCATTATCATTATTATTTTCCATCTCATCTGTTATCCTGGTATCAGCTGTAGACATTTCCTCATCTCTTGTATCATTCAAGCTGGTTTGATTTTCATCGTCTTTGTTCATATTTTCATTGTCAAGTTGTTCGATCTCTGAGGTCAAAGAGGGTGCTGTACTTGCTCTGCTACTATTAAAATCATCTTTATGACCTAACAAAGAGTCATTATCAACATCCTTATCTGTAGATGTATTCAGTGTGCTGCTTACTTGATTCAAGTCTTGATTTTCACTACAGTAAAAATAACACATACAAATGCTGTATTTACTTTGTATATATTTCTTAATAATTATCAATTTTTTAATCTATATATTTAAATTACTTGAATACATATTAGTAATTTAAATTACCACATCATTTTTAATAAATATAGTTAAAATACATAGTATAATTTTAGTAATTTAAATTACTTCTATTTTTTTTTTATTGAACCATCTAGTTTCATTATTTAAAATCACCAGTTACTTAGTATTACAAAACTTTACCTGTTAAAATCATTGTGACCTCGAACTGAAATTCAAATAAAAATGTATAATTTATTTAATTTCAATTTATTTTTCATTGCAATTATTTTATTTTTAAAAACGTTAATTCAAAGTAACATAAATTGAATAAGGAATACGAAATACCCCACAACATAACACAACTACAGAAATAAAAGAATAATTGCCGCCGAGCGGTTCTCCAAAGTCGGTGGGCAATAAGGCAATAAAATAAAATATAAAATACACATTTAGCTGTACAATACAGTAATAACATTTTAGCTATATAAAATATCAAATTCATCTATTTCTCAAAAATTTCTTACCGGCAAAAACAAATAATTTACCTTGTAAGGGAACAGGACTGCTGAATGGAACAAACTCCATGGTGGCTGGGATATCAAAGAACTCCTTAAAAACAAATTTTACAATAAATAGAACATTTAAAAAGCACAATTTGTTGAGAAATATGTAAATAATTTATTTTTGTTAATTTTTAGGCAGAAAGTGACAATTTTTAGTGCCCTATTGATTGCTAATTATTTACATTTTATTGAACTCACTTCTTCTAAGGTTATGCCACTTGTGTTACCCATTCTTGATCTTAGTCGACGATTCTCGGTTCCCAGGTGATTGACAACGACCATCGAAGCTATGGTCTGTGGTTGCATCATTGTAGTCACATGACTGGCAGCTTGCGGCACCCGTTGATTGTGATCCCTTTCCTGAAAGGTTTTAAAATAAATTGATAATAATAATAATAATACTTATCAAGAAAACTGATTTAGTAGACTTCTAGAAGATGTGTATGCAGCAAATATTACTCCTTTATGACACCTTCATAAAAAACACTGAGTAAGCAACTGTAAAAATCATCACAAAATAAATAAACAACTTTTATAAAATAGAAGTAAATCATGGAAACACTAGAATAACTCAACCGAACATTCCCTCATCTTTACCATTGCATTCATCTATTATTACCCTCATCAATTATCATTATCATCCTCTTTGTCAAAATACCAACATTAACGTAATCTTTCAACTTCATCACCAAATATCCCAAACATTAAACCAAGCAATCTTCATATACATACTTTGGCTAAGCCAAGAATACACAATGTTTCTACACTGTGGGTTTAAAAAATTGGGTTAAACTCTTTGAATTCAACCATTACCCTCACTGTATTCCATCTTTTCTTCATTGATTCCTCTGCAGCAGTCTTGGGTCGTCTGACAGGAATATTCCCGCCTGCTGACCTAGGGGAACATCTGGACGCTGTACTTCTGGAAGCAAAATTTAAATGAATATAAGAATCTCCTAGTTTTGAGTTGGATTGTGTGCATAAAGATACATATGAACAATTTTTATGAAATTTACAAAAAAACACAAACAATGCAGTGAAGTGGGCAACAATCTGTGGTCTGTGCTTTGAGGTCGTATTACCTTTTACTACCAGAACATGTTAAATTTCGCAAACCCTCATCTTGCCATCTGTTGAAAGAATTGTTTTGTTAACTTGTTTAGGTCAATTAATTAATATTAATCAATTAAAATAATTTATATCTATAATTAATCATTAGTAGGCCAGTTACTTAATATAAAGGTGGTACAACGCTGCCAAAAAAAAAAAAAAATCTTTTGAGGGATTAATATCCACTAAATGTCAAACTTACTTATAGCGAGAAGTTTCCCGTGGTGATACCTGTCCATGGCGGATTGCATGCGGTACTACATTTCGGCTTTGGTTCCTCTCATCAGGTCGTATATGAACAGTATATTCGGTTCCTTCTGGTAACTGAAAAATAGGCTCCCCTTTCTTGTTTCTTGGGGTATAATCAACAGATAAATTTGTGCTGAAAATTGAAGAAAAATCATACAAATTGTCATGACTAATATTGTACATTAATATAGAACACCACAATCGTTTCGTCAAGACGCCAGGTGGCGCCCTCTGTTGTCAACAGACGTTGGTTACCGTTCATTATGCTTGAATGACTGATGACTGATTTCTGGAATAGGCATTTTAAAATCTAATATTTTACCATCAAAATGTACTAAAAACACAAAAGCTCGCATTATATTACTTATTGAACACACATTTAATCATCAATTAAAATTTACAAAAAAAAAAAGTAAGATACAAGATCTTAATAATTACATTAGAAATTGGGATAAATGGTTTATCAGTGGAGAAAATGGCATCCGGTTGAACGCATTTTGCAACGGAATAGTATCACGTGGTATCGTGATGTAACACCGTAGTACTCTATAAATTTAACCGATATGCCAGACGAAAAAAAGATGTATATGGGCTTACCTTGTAGATGCAGGCCTGGCACTGTTAGGAGGTGGAATAGGTGGGGCATCAAATAACATAATTCTTGCTGCCTGCGATGGCGCTGTTTGTGGTCGATCCTGTTTGACGCCCACTGATGGCTGTCTAAAGCCTGCTTTTGGTTCTGGTGATAGCTGAAATTTATCAAAATATGTTATACAGTTAATTTGCACATCTACTGGAAAAAAACAAGTGATGAATCTTGGAATTTTAAAATTTTGTTTAATTGCAAGCCATTTACGATGCGAGGAAGTAAAACTATTCTGTCACAGTGTGAAGATGATAATAATAATAATGGATAAAGTTGCGTTATTTTTAATATACAGTTGAAAAAACAAAATTGAATTTCAGCTACACATAAATACATGATATATGTAAAAAGTCACTGACCTTTTCTTTAGTGTTTGTCATTTCATCACCAACATTTTCAGTCAGATCAACAATTGATTCAAAATGCACCTTGGTAGATTTGCTATTACCAGTTGGACTTTTGCCGCTAAGTGGAAATTAAAATGGTTTATTAAAAAAAAAAAAATCCCAAAAATTCAAATCCAATACACAATATGATGTCTCAAGATGAGGCTTAAAGAGTCATATAAATAAAAAAAATGATAAAAAAATTTTTTCATGATTTTAAAATTTTATTCAAAATCAGGGGGTCCTATGTTGAAAAGAAGCCACTATATGGAAAAGTGCTTTAATAATAATAAGAATATAAAAATTTATACCATGTCTTTTGACAAGATACAAGGCGATGGTGATGTTATTATAAGCCCTGGTCATCGGATCTATGATCAACCCAGCACAAAGTGCAACCTCCCCCACTCCATACCTGGAGAGTATTCCTACTCGTGCATGCAATTTAATGCTAAACAGAGTAATACTTGCAATGCCACATCATCCTACAGGCACCCATTAAAGTGCCTTGCCCAAGGACACAAGCATTGCGATGAGCGTCGGTCTCGAACCCCCGATCTCACGATCGAAAGTCCAACATCTTACACTCAGCGCCACAGGCTCCTACATTGTCCTTTATTGAGCTTTTGTAGCACATCTTATTGGCCAGGTGACATCAGAAGGACAATTGATAACACAGTAGTACTTAAATGCAAACATTCTGAATTTTTGTGAAGCTCATTAGTTTACGGGAGTGCGAAAGACTATGCAGAACAAAACAAAATCGCTAAGTTTGTTCATACCTCTTCTGAATTTCTTCTGCAATTTCATCAGCAATATAGCCTCTGATTGGTTCTGCTGATTTGGATGAGTGAACTTTGAACTTCTGTGCTGATGACTTTTTTCCAGGTTTATAATCCTCCATACTCTTATAAAAATCTTCAAGCGATTGATAATGGAGGGCTTCTCTGGTGCTTTGTTCAACTACAGATAAAATAAAACCTTAAATTAATAATTTAAAATAGTTATAAAATGTATTTACTAATAAGCCATTAATTAAACAAAAGTGAATGATCATATAGACCAAAACTATTCGTGTTGCCCCTAATTGACAAATAATTTTGAAAATATAGGGTTTTTTCCAAAATATTTTTTTTCTATAAAAAATATAAATATGATGTGTGGAAAACATTTTCAAACTACTTAAGTTAATAACTTAATTATGGATTATATCCATAGAAGCGGTTTGGTGCAGTGGAAATTGTTTGGTTTCTCAACCTCGAGGTCAAGGTTTCAATTCTTCGCTGTGCATTTCGCTTGTGTCCTTGAGCAATGCACTTCATCTACATTGCTTCATTCTACCCGGCTGTACTAGTGGGCACCAGCAAACTGCTGGGTGGGACTAGCGTTCCACCCAGTCAGAGCATCGCACTCTAATCTGCTTCACACTACATAAACTGAGGATAAGCTCCAGTCTCTATAGGCCCTAGTGGCTTAACAAGGAGTTACTATAGATTATATCTAACTTGATTAAAATTTTACCAGTCAAAATACATTTGGATATTTGCCACCAACTGTAGAATTTGTCCTGAAGCTATAGGAAAATAAAAATAATGAGAAACCTTTTGGAGGTCCTTGCTCCAATGCAAAGCTTGATATAACCTGCTGGGTATACAGCTCAGGCCTCTCCCAACCATCATGCACTGTGTACCGGACACCACTAGGGGAACCGCTCCGCCCAAAAAACTGATGCTTGCCAATGATGTCTTGACCATATGTCTGAGAATCTTGGTATTCCTTCCACTTGTCCAACAGTTTTGACTCAGAAACTCTTTCAGCTGACTGCACTACTTCTGTATCAACTAAAGAAAAAAATTGATGTGTATTGATTGGAAAATTGGAAAAATTCCCACATGCAAACATTATTATACACTGGTCATTGGATTAAATATGTACAGAACACAACAATAATAATAATAATAATAATAATAATAATAATAATAATAATAATAATAATAATATATTTATATATTTTTTTTCCTTTTCTGTATTTTTTTCTTTATTTCTGTATTTTTTTCTGAATTTTTTTTCTTTTCTCTCAAGTTGAGCGATGAAATCAAATGATGTTAAAAATGAAATTCTTCTATGTGCTTAGCTTCCAAGCGGTATATTCCATAATGTTGTAGGTAATAATATGTTAAATTGAATGGTAAACAATGCATTGTTATTAAAACCTACAAGGCCTAAAGCTACATCTGAATTTTTACCTGGAACATCCACACGTAGCGTGAACACATTTTCTGGTGCAGGCCCATCATCATAGTTCTCTTCCAAGAAATGATGTTGTGCGACGGGGTTCACTAGATGAGGAATAGGAAACTTTGAAAGTTTTTGGTCTTCTTCCTGTTTTTCCCCATTTTGTGTAATAGAATCTTCCTCATTTACTGAATCGGTATATTCAGATGGGGTTGAATGCAACTCGTGGGCGAGCTCATTATTTGTTGAAGGGATATTTAAACTCTTCTTGGTGTTTTGATTTATATCTGTTGACGGATTAGAAGAACTTCCCTGAAAGAATAAATTTCTTATTTATGAAAATGAGTATGTTTCATAATTATAAACTATGACCCTGGGATTGGAAGGCAAGCATCATAAGGCGAGACATTTTATATACCTTGCATTTTTATAAAGGTCGTCAGCTAAAAGCTAATTGGCCAAAAATATAATTTTAATTTTATTCAAAATCATCAATATTGGCGGCTGGCAGGTTCGCTAAATAAGGTACAAAAAGTCTCGCCTAACAACCAAGCTATTCAACTCACTGCATGCTTGAATCTAATTGACACAAAAGTGGTTATCATTTAAATAAATATTGAAATAAGAATGATTTCACCACTGTTTACCTATGTATGAAACATACTATATATATGTATTATGTCCATATACAATGAACATAATGAATAAAAAATATTGGCATGTCTACATAATTACAGTACAGGTAAATGTAGTGGACTTACTGAAAGATCATCAACAGGACTGTTGTTAAGCCTTATCAAGCCAATGGCTGTTGACGGCCTATTACGGACATCATGCTCAGAATTGCCGGGGGAGACTTTGTGAATGAGGTAGTGTGCTGTCAGGCTGGGGGCATCTGCTGCAGGGGGAACTACCTTGGGTGGTGATGGAAGATTGTTTTCAACCTATAAGCAAAAAGTATGAAAAAGGGTTATTAAGCCTAGCATATTGTACTACCTACTTCCTCGCCAATTATATTCATAAAGTAATCTGTAAATTGACAGGTTATGTAGTATAAAAATCTGTAAACCCAAAACTGAATTATTTCATTCTGTATTTCATTTGAAGTTATTAGATCTTTTTAAATTTCAAATTTTCATGTTTTTATTAATTTTAGGGTTTAGGAATTCTTGGTCCATCTTCAATAATCCATAATAGATTCATTAGATAAAGGCGATTAATTTATAAAGAACATACCTTAGGCCTGTGTAGGCCAGGAGGAGCAGTAAGTGGTCGACTAACCCCAAGGCCTTCAAATGACTTAATGATACCCTTGCTGCCTGGTCTAGGATTGCTCTTGTTTGTAGAAAATCCTGAGGTTTTCCCGTCGGAGAAGTTAACTTTCTTAGGACTTTTGTTCCGCTTGTCCAAAGGAACAGAGTAAAAGTTAAGAGCATCATCGGCAAACTTTAGCAATGGCCTCTTGTATAATTGTTGAGTTGATCCTTTGAAATGCTGAAATAATCAATATTGAAAATTTTAATCAGCAATCTGGATCAAATGTTACTAATATTGATTACAATTGATTATTGAATTATGATTAGGGTTATTATATTCAATAGGCACAATAACAAAAAATCATATTAATAATTACATGCATGTAATTATTAATATGATCTATACATAGAAAAACTAAGTAATCTTATCTTTTAAAACAGCAAATTAGCCAAAACTTTGCACACTGTAATATTGGCTTAGTGTGACACATTAACTGTACCAAGACTTTTTTATATTATTATTTAAAGTTTGTTACCTGAGGGAGAGAGATAAGGTGTGGTTTGTTGGTTAAGGTGCCTCCCTTCCAGACCTATGGGTTTACATTCAAATCATATGAGAAACTGAGACATTTTTTAGCATTACTTAACCAAACTGGACTCACTACGTCTTAGAGCATGGGTAGGCATAAAAAGATCAGTCGGAGGGCCAAAGTGAATTTTTGATTTAACACTTAGGGCCACACCCATATTTTGACAGACTTTCCAGTGTGCTTCCAAAAAAAGTTTATGCACTGCTTATACAGTACCACTTTATTCTGAGTTTTAATATTACTTTTTACTGATAATGGTTGTCAAGCCGTAAAAAACAAGGCGTTTTCTAGCCAACGATGGTTAGCTGGCTACACACGTAGAGATCCAAAAACAACAAAAGACAGTCGGGCCACATGCGGCCCGTGGGCTGCACTTTGCCCACCCGTGTCTTAGAGCATCATTTCCATTCTATGAGTGGGAGACACACTCATTTTTTAAATGAGAATGGAATATATTGTTTCATTAAATTTACTATTTTCGGTCTTAACTTACCGGACTGGAGTGTAAAACACCACGATTAGCTTTAAACCAACGATAAAGTTTCTTGACTTCCTCTCTTTGTTTTATACCTCGAATGCTGTAGGAATAAAATTATAGGATAGCTACTGCAATAGTTTCATTAATGAGATTGACTTATAATTGCTCAATTATATAATAATGTAATGTTTTAATATCTTAATGTGTATAATTCAAAAATGACTCATGCACTCAATACAAGTCGAGAGGAAAACAAACAGGAAAAGAATTCTTGTTGTAGAAAACCTCAAAGTAATCTAAATAAAACCTTCAACAAAAAGAAAAGAGAAAACCTGCACCATTCCACTAGTAGGCCATGTCTACCTGCAATGAACTCAGGGGAAAATGTCTCTGTAGGTATACCCTCTGTCCCTTGAACTACCAACTGATTATCATAACACAACAAAACATTGTACAATCCTACAAAAGATTGGAGGTACTTATAATGTCAAGTCATAACACACTGGTTCCTTTTGTGTTCTATAAACCACTTGTTTTGACGTTTAGCTAGACCATGTATTGTGTTTCTATTGATCTGTAGTTCCCTGTGATCTTTGGTAAACTGTAGCCTTGGGCTGTCCTGCCATTAATAAGTAAGCAACCAATACAAACAAAAAACCAACAGAATTTATACCATCAATTAGTAAATTAAATTGCTGTCAAACAGAATTTAAAATCTGATGAAAAACAAACATCCTTTTTAATTAATGGAATTCTTTGAAATTGCATTATTGAATCCAACAGTTACGCAGAATTCACTATAAAATTTAACTTAGTATACATTAGCAGACCCAAAAAAGCAAAATATTGTGAATAAAAAATAAAATAAAGAAGTATTAGACACACTTGTTGAGGATCTGTACCGACACATTTAATTGTCAATGCAGATTGGCCGATTGAACCTTCATATCACAGTGTTATTACTGATTATGAATAACAATAATACTCTGCAAATAAATTAGACAGTGTTTGCCGTCTCTAAACACAATCTAACATTCTACAATTCACAAGGACATAAGGACGGAAATGTGGACTTAGAACATTGTTAATTAAATGGGGCATAAGCTATGAAGCGAGAGAATTCAATTTGATATTCTCATTTCATATGTGATAAATTATGAAAAATCAATTATTGAATAAAGCATTGCAAATACTTTGAAAATGTGGCAAATATTACCAAAATGAATGGGGATATTAAATTTTAGAACAAATATAAAATTACTGTATATATTGGCTTTTTTCTCAAAAAATTGTTTTTATATTTTTATATTATAACCACCATTATAAATTTATAATATATATCACAGCTTCAGTAAATCAATAAGTAATTATCCCTGTAATTAATCAATCAATAAATTTATCGGATCCACTTTTGATACAGTGACACTCATACAAAATGTATATACATTATATATACTTAAATCATCCATGAACAACCATTTTCATTATATTATTATTACTATTTAAAATAAAAAATGTATAGGCCTAGAGTACTTTTATTTTTTGAAAAACAGCAACAAACCCTGGTTACATATGTTTTCCTAGTGCACTTTCCCGAGACCATTAGTATACATTAAAGGCAGAATTATTTAAAGTCAGGCTGCAGAGAAAACATGTTGTGCAACTGATTTTTCTAAGACAAAAAAAGCATACTGTATATGTTGAAAAACTCAGGAATGGATAATGAGACACTGATTTTTTGAATATTTCAAAACTGGGGGGAAAGGGTGGAAAAAAGGGTGGTTATGCCTCTTTTCCCCAGTGTTTAAATATTCAAAAATATGTATCTCATTTACCGTTGCTGAGTTATTCATCAAATATAATTTTTGTATCTTAGAAAAATCAGTTTTACAACATATCAAAAAATGCTTTTCGTCAAATATGCTTTTTGTGTACAGTATCTTAAAAAAATCAGTTGTATAACACAACAAAATGTTTTCCTCTGAGCCTGGCTTTAAAAACATGTTAATATAAAACCTATTAAACAAAACAAAAATCGTAATTACTGATTATTTGATAATAGGCAGTTTTCGCCGCACGATGGTAACCTTAACTTTAACGGATGACGTCATAATTTATTCACCTTTCATTGCGGAGTACGTAAATTTAAGGATTTTACGTGCTCGACGTACGTTAGTTACGAGTTTGCGCATGCATATTTTGATTTGTTTACAAAAGGGACGGAGCTATCGCGCTGCATGTTGGGTATTAACGTTAAAGTTAAGGTTAACTTCGTGCAGCGAAAAAGACCTATTGCTTACTTTGATATTTCTTGCATCATGTTAATCAGGATGTGGTAGAATTGAGCATCCTCAGCTTGCTGAACTAAGTAGCTTTTATCTCGGCAAGTTAAGTAGGATAATTTCATGTCATGATGGAATTTTTCTACTGTTCGAAACATGTCAATAAACTCAGAATTTTTCATCAGCTACAGTGAAATAAAATATTTATAAATTTATTTATTCGTATTTGTTAGCACATTAGAAATATTTTGCAATATTTACATGTTTTGATATTTTTATATCTTATACTGTACCAAATTCTTACTTGCGTATGATTAAAAAAATAAATCTATCATTGAACAAGACACAAAAAGGGATACAGTAGAACCCCCTCCTTTGGGACACCCACACAGTATTCAGGGGACACCCTTATTAAGGGGACACTTTTCTGTGAAACAAGGGCCAATATATCTTTTAACACTACAGCTAACCCCTATTAGGGGACAGGGAAACTTTTTATTTTGCAAAATGGTCAAATCAGAACAATTTCACCCTATAGGAGATACTTTTTTGGTCCTGAAGGTGTCCCCTTAAGGCTTAATTATAGGAGTTCTACTGTATTTGAGGGACAGGAATAGAACAGCATATTTTTTAATTACAAGCTAATGATTGATTTAATGCCCTCATGTCTAATTAAACAAACATTTAATTTTATTTATAGTTACATGTTTAGGCCTACTTCTGCACTTGGTTAAAGTTCATTGTTATTAATATTGATAATATCTGTTACAAATACGGTAATCTAATGATTGGACTATTGGATAAGCTGTTTATAAATAATTCATTAATTAATCACTATTGGCTGGCTCAAAAACTATTTATATGAAATGAAAAATTGGTATCATGATTGCGTTAAATGTTTTATGTTATTATATAATTTTGATGTTGTTTTGGTTGCTTTCCATAGTACAGTACTGTGCTAAAAATTAAGGCTAATGAGAAATGCTTCAGTGCAAACCAAAACAATAGGATCAAAGTCCTGGATTCAAATCCCTTGACAAATGTGGATCTCTTTTTTTCTTATGATTTTTATTTTAAAATATTTAAAAAAGTATTGATGTTATACTGACCTGCGATCCTTTGAGTTGTTTCAGATTCTGCTCAAATCCTGCCATTCCAAGTTGTGATCCACGAATTTTCAACTCCACTTTTGACATGACTGTAGAATTACCAATAACTAGGCCTAGCCTAGGCCTAGAGTTACTATGCTATGAGTGAGCCTAGGCCTAGCTTTTTGGCAAGTCAATGACTGTCAACCTGTCAGGATATTTTGACATTTTTTAATCATCAAAAATCAATTAAAGGGGCGGCTGACCAAGTGTGAAATTGGCCTAGTTCCATTTCACCACGGACGATTGCAACAGGTAATCCAACATAAACCAAAAGCTTACATCGACTCAACTTCGATCAACGGCCAATGCAATTGTTCAGCCGGTTGAGCCAGCCTCCGCACTTCCAACTGGGTTGGCCCACGAACACAGCTATCCCGAACCGAAGTGAACACTGCGCGGAGGTAGGGCTGGTCCTCTCACTAGCTAGAGCTAACCTACACAACAAAGCAGGCAGGTAATTTCGCCAAGTAAAATCGTAAAATTAGATTGCTTCAGACACATAAAAATGGCTTAAATAAATGCTAAAGATTATAATATAGATTGGGTACTAACACATTCCGCTATATAAAGCCCTTGTCTTCCAACACAACATGTGATTTCTTCGCTCTAGACATCCGCGAGTGTTGTTCTTAGACCAATTTAGCCGTCACGCATAAATACTCACGGCTTGTTACATTCAATAATAGGGTGACATTATGTAAACCCCACATAAAATACACTCTTTTACCACAATGACAGAATAAATTTAAAAAAAAATATCTTTTAAGCAATTTTAATATTTTAATTGAAAGCGTTTTTAATTTTTTTTATAGGTAATTGCGTCTCATGATATGGACCATTATGTGTCAAATACACAATCTAAAATGGTAACACCCAGGGTTTCCAGAACGACGAAAGGCTGTATATATCACGTGACAATATAATCAGCCATTAAAATCGCTCGAAAGTAAAAGTACAAAACTTAAACTTTGTGCTGTATCTTTGCTTAAACAATACTAAAGTTACATCTTGAACCTACTCATATGGCGATACAGTTTTGAAAGGAGATATATTGAATGAAATCAAACGAATAGTTTAAAAACTGTTGATTGATGTAAATTTGACAGCGGATGAATAAAGATGAATAAAGTATTGTATCTCATATAAATCATACACGACTAAGTAATAGTAACACAAAAAAAGTGATATTATAGAACTACTTTATTTTTGTGTATTTCAAATTTCACAAAACTCTTTCAATAGATTTATCTAGTGTACTGTATCTTGTATCTTAATAGGGCATAATTGTATAGCCAATTTAATAATCAATATGCCTATTTGAAAATAAATAGATATCAAAAATTCAGATTATTTTGCAGATGCACTAATCTCTTCTAGAATGAAGCGGCCCATTGCCTTCACACCTTCATATGTCTCAATACCCGACTGCTCTATTTGGTTCTCTGGTAGCAGGAATCCGTATTCACCAGTGTCTCGTAATTCAACTGTGTAAGAATACTTAGCGCCTAACCCCACGTAGCCCCAGTCTTTACTAGCTCCAGACGACACATCTGTTAAAAAAACAAATCAACATTCTTTAGTGATGCAAAACAACAGAGAAAGAAGCAACCAACCATCTGCAGCCTGAGTGATACGTCAACAAAAATAATCGTATTCATCTTATTCTGGTGCCCCGTCTGATTAGTCCTGCATAGGCATACTATATTCAAACTACAATTCTAACTACATGAAATCTACTAAGATAATGTATATTGTTAGTAGAATTCATGTAGTTAGAATTGTTTTTGTGTTACCGTATGTGCTTTTTAATATACAGTATTTATAATTATTTTTATACTGGAGTAGATTTGCAATAAGAAAGAAAAATTTCATAATTGTACCTTGTATTTTTATGACAATAAAAGAATTGTATCTGTATATATCATAACTAAATCCTTTCCGAGTCACTAGGGCTCATGCGGCTGGAGATTATATCCAGTTTCTGTAGTGTGAAGAGGATGAGAGTTGTACTGCCCTGGACTGGACACTATAGTCCTTCGCAAGTTAGTCCCATCAGTTTGCTGGTACACATTGATGCAACTAGGTGGACTGAAGCAATGTCCTGACGCGCCTTGCCCAAGGAAGGACACAACCGAATTTGCACAGACAATACACGGGGGAGTCTTATAGGGCACATGATGAAATGTATATGCACTCATTACTTACATAGTACTTGAGAGCCCGGTCCATAGATATACTTGGTTCCATACACTGATGTGATGGCAGAGGTGGCCGCCTTTGCAAAGTCGTCTTGTGCCTTAGCGTCAGGTGGAAGCTCTTTGTCGGTCCATGACCAAGGGGCCAACATCAATTGAGAGTAGCTATGCCAATCGATAAACACCTTGAACTCCTGTGTTTCGGCCTTCTTTAAAAGGAAGTCAGTGCTACCCTTGATCTCTGGCTCAGAGAAGGGATAAGGGCCGGCGTATATCAGAGAGCAAGAGTTGTTACTAGAACCTTCACCTAATTAAAGACCACGCAAAAATATACGGTAAAAGAAACAAATTAAATGTTTGATATCTTCTGACGTCAATATAAACATTAACAGCTGTAAAAGACATCCCGTTCGTCTTGATCTTCGATTTTTTAATAAGGGTATGCTTTAATTATTTTTAAATTATGGATACAATTAATTTCGCAAGCCTACCTCCCCATTTGTAGTTATAGTTCCTATTGGGATCTGTCCCAATACACACGTTACCCCTGGCCCTCTGGCGAGTCTTCCTCCAAAGACGATCCTAAAACGAAATTACCAGGCATATACATTTTTCAAAATAAAAAAAATGAGAAAAAAAGAAAATTCTACTCAAATTTTTTAGCCTAAAGAGTGCCATTTCCGGTCATCTAGAGGTGCCACAATAAATGTTCTTACCTCAGCCCCAACCATGGTGGGGCTGAGGTAACAGACCCTCCATCTGTGACCCTCCCCTATATTTCAAATTCCTGTATCCGCTACTGATATTGTATAACAAACATATCTTACACACATATCTTACACATAACAAGTATGTCGCAACAAACCCACTTAAAATGCATGTCCAAGTGTAGGCTTATATGAGTTTATTATATTAAATATTATGCCTATATTATTCACGCAAATTACTATGTTAATGTCTGTGATATATAGAAAACCATAAAACAATGAATTTTTTAACTTTATTTAAAAAAGAATAGATTAAAAGTGGTCTCCGTTATTTTACTCACATTAGTCCAAGTGTATGAGTAGCCATCCACGTTGAGGGACGGGACAATGTACCAATCAATCTCATCCAACATACGGGTCACCTCACTATCTCGTCCGTAATCTTTCACAAGCTGGTAAAAACGGTGAAGTGAAAATACATATGTAGATGTTCTCATGGATTCGCAGTACGAAATTATTTTATTGATAATTATATTCCAGTTATTATAATCAGACGGTACGCAATACAGGACGCAATATCATTCATTATCATTACCTGATTTGTGAAGTACATAACGGTTGCCGGGGAGATCCATTCGCGCGAATGAATACCACCTTGGAAATAAATTGCAGGCTTACCAGTCACTGATAGATCACCAGAAATCTGTAATGAAATGTTGTTATACAATACTTTGACTGATGAAATTTTTAAAGACATGATGGTTACCTTCATTGTAACTTTTTTACTCAATTTTTATCTCCACTGTATTTTTTATCGATCTTGCCATAGATTGTGCTCATTCTTTGCTGAAATCTTATTGTCTTATTGACATTTTATCTTTTGAACTGGAAAGTGTATTTTTAATGCAAATTTTAATTGTTTTTTGTTTATCCATTTCTTATTGAATTTGTAAATCTAATTATTGAATTGTATTATAATTTTTTAATTCAAATTGTATTTTTATAAACTTTAATCAATTGAATATTATGTCTTTTTTAAGCTTTTTTTTTTCTTTTTTTATTCTGACAATTTGATTGTGTAATTTAAGATTGATCGTGTAATTTGTTTACATTGGTAGGCTTTCGTTTGTGTCTAAAGACGAATTTCCAGTACCGGTATACATTTCTCTTATATTATTTGGACAATAAAAATTGATTTGATTTATAGTTGTTCATAATATAAATGATAAAATGAAGTATGAAATTCTCTGTATTAAATAACTTTTAATCCGTATTGTTACGTCACAGTTCAAAACATGTGTTCTGGCAATAAAATGCTATATTATAATATTACAGTACTAACTGTTTATAAGTAAATCGTGACGTCATCCTTTAACGCCCACCCCACCCAAAACAATGAATTCATCGCTCACATCACGAACTATCACAATCAAAGTAGATTGTGTTAGTTCGTAGCGCGTCAAAACGAGCGCGTATTGGTTGTCAAGCAATTTTGTATTCTTTACCACACAAAAAGTCCTTAACGACAACAGCGCGTATTTTGACGCGCTTTTTTGATTTCACGAACTAACACAATTGAATTTAATTGTGTTAGTTCGTGATGTGAGCGACTTATTAATGCACGGTTGCACCTGTCTCTTATACACATCTAGATGTGTATAAAAGACAGCAAACTGATTAAAGAA